TGTTTGTTATTTGTTTTTTTTTTTTATTTAACCACAATATTTTTGCAAAATTCACAAGGCAATACTATTTATCAGTAAAAATGTGAACACTATTTTAAAAAATACAACCTTTTTTTACAATCTTAATGTATTTGCACCATCATCTGTACTGGTATCAGTTTACAATAACACACTTCACATTTGTTTAGCAGGCTTTAAACATTCTTTGACTTTTCAACTTATTACTCAACAGGAAAGCCTCACAACAATCCCATGAGGTAGATAGTTAATGTCCCATTTGGTAGATGGAAAACATGAGGTAAAATACATTGCATGACTCCTATAATACCACTCAACAGATCAGGTATCAAACTAAAAATAGGACATATGAATCCTGTTTTAAAAATCCACTTTTCCATTTCTCAGATTTACTTATGGCCTTTTGTATTTATTGCTCTCATTTGTGTTAAAATGTCACTGAATTGAATTTGAACTGAGCATTGAATCATTTAAATCAGTGTGCAGTTTCACAGGCACTTCTATGCAAAAAAGCTATCAGTCTTCTGAAATGTAAATATAGTTACACAAAAGCATATATTCATTGTTAGAGAACTTACACAGTAGAAATTTATTGATTTTGTAGACAGATTTGTTTTCCTCTTTCTACAAAAGACTATGTTTAGCTTTAATATAAAAAGGTCTATTATGAATCAAATACATCTTAAATATGCTAAATATTCTCTAGGAAGCTTTTGTTTCTCTGCATAGAAGGAAGTATAAACATTCAAGTTTTTACTCTGCTTCTTCTATTGATATTTAGTTATTAGCAGTCATCAACTCAGAAATTTGGTGACATTTTCCTTTTAAAGGAGAGTGTGAGATGACCCTTTTGTATCTCAATATTAAGATGTAAATGATAACTAGGAAAGTTTTTAAGTTATATTTATCTTGTTTACATATATTACAGATAAACATACATACGTGTAAATTAACAAAACTTTGTCATTAAAGAAATAGAAAGGCTAGATTTTTCTCTGATATATCAGAACAAGAAATCAAGCACTTTGGTCGTACATGTGAACCCTGAAGATGAATACTGCTGCATCTCTACAGTAGTCACAACCCCGGTGACTGATGACCACACTCCCTACAACTATGTCTATAACCAGACATAGTCCTAAACATATTGAGATATCAAAACATGATTTTGAAAATCCGGTAGATCCCTTAGGGTTTTTTTTTTTACAGTGTAATTTAAGCATTCTTAAATAAATTACATGATTTTAAAGAAGGGACTGCTTTTAAAAAGTATACTGTTTTATTGAGTCCAAAGCACATTAATAATAATTGAGAGTAGCTAGTTCATATTGAGACTACTGTGTGCAGACACTGTTCCAAGTGCTTTACTTTTACTAATGCATTTAATCCTCATAACAACCATGTGAGGTAGGTATTATTTTTATTCTAATTGTAGAGATAAAAGTGCTAATGCACAGAGATGTCAAGAAACCTGCATCAGGACACACAGTTCATACGTGGCAAAGCCAACATTTAGCCTGGGCAGTCTGGTTCCAAAGGCTGTGCTCTCTGCCATTAGACTCTGAGCTGTATTTAAGTCCCAAAGCCATTCACTCATTCGACAAAGTTAATTTATCTTAAAACTCATGGAGGCATTCCTTTCCTCCACATACAGGAAATATCCACATAGTGCTCAATATATGTGAGGCACTGTCCGAAGTGCTTACGCAAATCAATTCTCCCAACCTGATAGATATCTGACCTGGCAGAGAGCTGAAGACTTTACAATTCTATGCTTACAAAAGCACCGGTTACTGTATGCTGCTGTACATATTTCTAAATAAATAATTGGATAGCTCATTCCACCGAAAATCTAAGGTGTGTTTTTCTTGCTCTTAATCATTTGAAAGCAACTCAACTAGCCTATGTCCCATCAGTTCTTTTTATCCTCCTCGTACACATGGAAAAATGCTCCCAAGATTCTTCTTTTTCTTCTTTCTGGCCTGACTTCAATTGATATATGGATGGCAAGATGCTGTTAAAGAATAAATCAGAAACACTCCTTCACAATACAGCTTTTATCCTGAAGCTAGTCTTTGTGTATGTAAGTGTTAACAGCAAGTTCAGGTACACCCAAACATCTTCTAAATCGCAAGTCTTATTAATGATAATGCTTTGTATTATTATTTAGAAACACAGGTTAGAGTTCAAGTTATATTGTAATTCCATGCTTCTCCATTCTAGCCAGTGAACGTCCAGCCATCAGTCTTTGAATGTTGAAGCTCTGAATTCTCAGGGAAGACAGCTGTTTGATACAAGAGTCACAGGTGCTCCAGGATATACTCTGAGTAAGTTTTTGGCAGCCCTGGCAGCTCTTCATATCCTGTGAAAAATGATGTTCCTTGTCTTCCACTGGGGGAAACCATTATAAATAGTCCTCTTATTATAAGTACCACAGTTTCCCTTGTGAGGAGTTGGTGCTATTGCCATTTGCTCTGTCTTCCTCCCATAGGGTAGAGAAAGAGTTCGGTCACTTGTGTGCAAAGACCACTTCATGATATTACATAGGTCTGAGTCAGAGGATTTCTTGACATCCAGAAAAAGCACTGATCCAAACCGCATGAATATAAATAATATACAATATGCAGTAATTTCAGCTTCATATGCCATGCATATAATTCATAGACAATTCACACTAGATACCAGTCTTTGAGGCAATCCATCCTCGATACTGAGTCACTCGTGTATAGACCCCAGGTTTCTTGGGAAGAGCACATGATTGTCCCCAACTTACTATACCAACTAAGTACCAGATGTCATGATTATCATAAACCAGAGGACCACCAGAATCGCCCTTGAGAAAAAACAAAAATATATTTAGAATTATAAACTCTTACTCCCTTCCACAGACAAAAAGGAAACTGGCATGCAGAACATGCAGCCAGACTAGAGATAGATTATATAATGTTTCTCTGAATTGAGTTAAAATTTTATTCTGAACTTTAAAGTGCAATGGTTACATTATTTCTGGTTCAGCATCCTTGTTTTTTTTTTTTTAAGTCCTAGTTTTTTTTTTTAAGTTTATTTATTTTGAGAGAAAGAGAGAGAGAGAAAGAGAAAGAGAGAGGGCGCTAGCACAAGTTGGGGAGGGGCAGAGAGAGAGGGAGAGAGACAATCCCAAGCAGGCTCCACACCGTCAGCATGGAGTCTGATGCAGGGCTCAAATTCAGGAACCATGAGATCATGACCTGAGCTGAAATCAAGAGTTGTACGCTTAACCAACTAAGCCACCCAGGTGCCCCCTTGCTAGTTTCATTAGACGCTTTTTCATGGGTTAGTAAGTATATATACAAAATATTAAATATGAAGTTAGTATATATGGGAATAGGTGGAAAGTTTTGATGATCTCCAAATATTCTTAGCTAGACTCAATGTTATAGACTGATTCTTGGTCTCCTTGGCTTTCATGCACCTAATTATAATTATGCTTGCTTGCTGAATTTTATATAAACACTCCTAAATCTGTTTTGGAATAAGGACAGTTAAGTACATAAACAGATATACATGTAGAGGTTAAAAGTGTGGTCTTGGTATTTGAACCGCTTATGTTTTAGGATTAGCTCTATCAATTACTGTCTATGTGACTTAGGGTAAAATATGTAAGCTCTCTGTGCCTGTTCTACCTCATTCATTTATTCTTTTGTGAAGTACTTAATAAGTTCCAGCTATGTGTCCCAGGCTCAGGCCTGGAACCTGCTTCAGATTCTGTGTCTCTCTTGCTCTCTGCCCCTCCCCACTCATGTTCTGTCTCTGTCTCTCAAATTAAATTAAACAAGCCCACAAATAAATGCAAGGTGACTACTATGGTAAATGCTATGGAAACATACATAGGGGAATAGGACTGGTCAGGGAGGTCAGGAAAGTTTTCCTTGATGAGATGTAATTGAGCTGATATCTAAAGAATTTAACCTTTATGAAAAGGGAGGTGGCTATATAACATGTTCTAGGCAAAGGGAACAGTACTGCAAATGCTCTGTGACATGAAGAAACCTGGCATATGCAAAAGCCTGGGGCAGCGTGGATAAAAAGGAGTACTGAAGAGAAGATAACAAGGGGGCAAGTGACTGTGATGAGTCTGTAAAGGTCAAGAAAACTAGTCCTGGAGAAACCCTGAGGGTCTTGCTTAGAAGTTATATTTTCTATCTTAAAACTGAAGGTAAACCACTGGAGTGTTTTAAGAAGGAGGCTTACAAGATCAGATTAACATTTTGTAAATCATCCTGGCTTTCATTTGACTAATGGACTATAGGAGCATAAGTGTGAATATAAGGAAATGAGCTAGATGAATAATTCCTTTAGATCGGGGAGTGTGAGGAAAAAGTAGGGAAAAGGAGGTAAAATCCATGGGATTAGGTAATCTGTTGGGTATGGGGGAGGGAAAGAAAGCTAGAATGTCTTCTAGTTTTCTGCGTTAATAGAGTGAAAAGGGATGCCATTCACAGAGACAAAATAAAGGAAGAGGGTCAGGTGGGGAGGGAAAAAGAACAGAATCAGGTGCAACATTTTGAATTTGAGATATCTTTGAAATATCCAAGGGGAGTTGTCAAGTAGGAGTTGAATATATAAATCTGGAGATAAAAGGGGAGGTTGGGGCTAACCATATAAATTCATGAATCATCTGTCAAAGGATGGCATTTGAAGCTAAAGAGGAAAATCAGATCCTCTAGGGAGAAAGTATAGAGTAAAAAGAGGAGCAGACATAGAATAGATCAAAATTTAATGGCTGAGATTAAGAGAATGAACCTGAAAAGGAAACAGAGAAGAAGTAGACAGAGGTGTAAGTTGAAAATCATTATAAGCCAAGGAAGACAAGAAAGAGGGAGTGGTAGGCATTATTAAATGGTGCTAAGAGGGGAAAAAAAAGGAATAGGACAAAAATACATTTACTGAAGGGCATTGGTGGGTTAGTGAAAACCTCAGAAAGAGCTATCTTGAAGTGAAAGGGCAGAAATCATACTGAAATGGTTTGAAGAGTTAGTGAGAGGTGAGAAAATTGAGACAATGGATATAGACATTTTCCCAAATATTTCACGGTAAAGAGATAAGATGCAGTGCTAGCTGGAGGCATTATAAGTCAAGAAAAAGTTAGAGGTTTTTCCCCCCTAACTTGAGCGATATGAGTAGAGAAGGAGCTAGGTATAAGAGAAATGTTAACTATGTTAACTATGGATTCAGATGAAGGCAGGTCTGCATTCATGGTGTTGGAAGATGAGGCAATTCTTCACTTACGATTTCTACTTTTCTTTGAAAACTGGGAAGCAAAATTATCAGTTGAAAATAAAGAGGTTGAAAAAAACCAGAAGTTAAGGAAAGTGGAAAATGTTGAGTAAGTTCAGAGAAAGGTAGATTTGGAAAAAAAATAGTAGGATTGTCACTTTTGTTATCTGAAACCTAAAGTGGAACCAATGTGTTGTGTTGTATTTTTTTCCAGGAGCATTTGACATCCTTGGTGCAGGCAGAGAGAGAGAGTAGATTGTGAAGTTCTTCTGGTTTTGGGACTTTGTCAGACAGAAACACTGAAAAGACAGATCAACAAGAGAACTTAGGATATTAGCAAAAGTGTTCAAAAAATGATTAATAGTGAAATCTAAATTGGACAAGTGGACAATGGAAGAAAGGATTAATGGAATGTGATAAAGCAGAGAAGCGATGGTCTATAGGTCTTTATGAAGTTGAAGAAAAGTGGTATTTTATTTGGCCAACAAATATCTGTGCCAGGCACTGATTTAGGTGTTGTTAATACAATAGTGAATTAAATAGACCCCCCCCCAAATCCGTGCCTTCTTGAAGTTTATATTCTAGTTTAGTGGGAGAGACAGACAATAAACCATCTAAATAAATTGTCTGTTGGATGGCAATAGAAGGTGAAGGTAAAGATAAAACAAAGAAGGGACATAATGTACATTGTGTAGACTGTGTAAGTTGGGGAGTGAGGATGAGTAGACAAGGGTATAGTATAAAGGGTATGGCCAAGGGAGCAGGAATAGCTTGACATGCAGGCAGGAAGTTAAATAGGAAGATTGGGGAATCAGTGTTCTTGGAGATGAAAGGCTCAAAATGTGGCCCTAGAAATGTGGCTCAGAAGTGGAGATCAATGGGAGTAGGAGGTCTAGGAACTAAGAATCCAGCATTTAAATGAGCCAGTGTTAATAATGCAGGCTTGGGATGGACAAGAAACCTGTTTCAGGTGTTAACGTCATTAATAGTGGGAGGGACACAGACACTTGGAGGCCAGGAGATGAAAGTAAGATACATGAGATATGATGCCAGAGCTGAATAAGGTGATCTTCAGAGGAGAGGTTTCTCTGTCTTTTGTTTCCAGTTCTGTTTAAGAAAATAACAATAGAACAGAAGAGTAATTGTTTGAACCAAACCTAGGGAGCAATAGACTTTAATCTCCCAATTTGTAAAAATCGTACCTCTTTGATTTCACTATTTTAAATGAAATAAGCACTTGGCTTGACATACAGTAAATACTTAATACAAGAACTTTTTAAATTATGATTATTAAATAAGCTGAATTCTTGGTGAAATAGATGACTTTTTTCTGCTAGGGGAAATGTATGCCAAATTTATAAATAGCTAATGGGAATTTTCTTTTCAAAGTTTTGAACTTGACTTTGGACTTACCTTACACGCATCTACTTTTCCTTCCATGAATCCAGCACATAGCATTCCTGAAGTTATCAGGCCATCATACACATCCTTCCTGTTACACACATCCGTGCTTATGGTTTCCACCCTGGCTTGCCGAAGTTTGTTTTGCGTGGGTCCTATTATATAAACACACACATACAAACACACACACACAAGCAAAAAATATGTTCTTTGAATATAACTGTATCTAAGACATGGAATAAGTATGTGTTGTATATTTCTAGGAACAAAAGCACAAAATCAAAAGACTATTTTATTAACATTAATTATAATTAATTATTGCCTTATTTATGTTCTGTATCATAAATGTCTAAATTCAAGGAACCATGCATATGCATACCCCAATATTATATCATATCTGTGAATCTTCAAGCCATTAGAAATCCTTACAACTGGGGCACCTGGGTGGCTCAGGAGGTTGAGCGTCCAGCTTCAGTTCAGGTCATGATCTCGCGGTCTGTGAGTTTGTGCCCCTCATCGGGCTCTGTGCTGACAGCTCAGAGCCAGGAGCCTGCTTTGGATTCTGTGTCCCTCCATCTCTCTCTGCCCCTCCCCCACTCATACTCTGTCTGTCTCTGTCTCAGAAATAAACATAAAAAAAAGGAGAAATCCTTACAACTACATGTAATAGTGTGTGTGTGTGTGTCTACACTTTTTTTTTCATGAGGAGAGGGTTCATCACACTGATCTTGACTAACCAGTAGCCTTTTATGTATAAGGAAATCAAGGCTCAGGGAAGTACATTGATTTTCTGAAAGATATTCAAGTAAAAACCAGTACATGAGCTGCACAGAGCTATGTTCCCTACTCTGTGCTGTGGCAAATTATTTAGACGTGCCTTGAAGCATGGGAAAAAGAACCAATGCCCACAATATGCCATAAATGTGATGCCAGTACAAAGCAAG